CATCTCAAGAATTTCCTCTTTGACTTTATAATCAACCGCCTTCCCCATGGGCCCTCAACCTTCTTTAATCCAAACACTCAGCTATTGTCCGAAAGTGTGTCCTGCGACTTGGGACGTACACCCGACCTCAAAGGCCATATACAAATGTGATTTTTGGAAGGTGAGTTAGGAGATGCGAGTGAGGAGATAGAGGAGAGAAGGGAGCGTGGGGAGTTAGAGTAGAGAGGCGAGCTTAAGAAGAAGAGAGAGAGTATAGAAAGGAGAGAGGGGAGTGTAGGGGGATATAGCAAAGAGCAGACAGTTTAAAAGAGCGAGAGACGGTTGAGAGCAGAGTGGAGTGAGAAGTAAAAGGGGAATATGTAGAGAGGAGAGAGGGCGGATAGATATAAGTGTTAGAAGTGGAGAGACAGGGGCTGGTTGGTTTGTGTGAGGGATGTTGAGTTTAATTGTGGGAGGGAGGGGACAACGAGGAGGAGAGAAAAGGTTAGAGAGAAGGTTTGAGGGATAACGAGGGGAAGGCGTGCATTGGAAGCAGGCGGAAATGCAGGGGGAGTCGGAGTCAGGAAAGAACTCGGGCTGCTGTTACTGGTACAGAGAAGGTTGAACCGGGAGGCAGATCGTTCCATTGATAAGGTCCTCTGGGTCGCTTTCTCCGCATGAAACTATATATTGCTATATTGCTACATAAATGGTATTTGTCAAAACTCAAGTTGTTGTTGATGGGGAACGGGAGAGGTTCGACAATAGTCAGTGAACGCAATCCTTACCGAAGGGGACAAACCGTGTATTCTGCCTATTAACGATTGTTGAGATAAATGTCTCTCTTTCTGGGGGGAGGGAGGTCACCAAACCTAACCTTCTCGAAGACTCTAAACAGAAATAGTCCGAGAACAGAACATGCCGTTTAGCCCAGTGTAGCATTTATGACTCTATGAAAGAGCTCTTGATTCAGTCCTTATTGTCGCCTCTCCCCATTGTGCCTTTGTTCGTGCTCACTCCCGCACTAAATCTCACCACTATAATCCCGTTCCCTGTTCTCTCTTTCCCCATAATGTCTGTGCTTGTGCTCGCTCCTCCACTGAAGCCACCCACTCTAATCCCATTCCCTGTCCTTTCTCTTCCCTTTTGTGTCGTTGCTTGAGCTTATTTCCCCACTGCAGACCATATTTGCGATAACATTTAATGGCTGCCCTAACGATTGACCATTCATGGTGTAATCAGATCCCTGTTTGTATGAAATATTTATTAATGAATTCTGCTTTGATTTTTTTTCTTGTGCAGTGATATTTCTGGAGAGAAACACAGTGGAATCTGCAGGTTAGTGACGCAATATCGCAGAGAGAAGCTGCTGTGGAAGCATTAACTGCTCAGATTGAGTCTCTGCCTCTATTCATCTCCATCTGGGGAATAGGAGGAAAAGCCGTCACACAATCCACAGGCCACGTTAGTAGACTGGCTTAAAACTTCCGTTTGTACCTCGACCTTCCCGTGAGAATGTGAATGTGTGAGTCTGTGTGTTTGTGCGACAGAGAGTGTGTGTTTGTGTGAGCGAGTGTGGGATTACGAGTGTTTGTGTGTGAATGAGTGTGTCACTATATGAGTGGTTGTGTATGTGTGCGATGTTTGTGTGTATGAGTGATTGTGTGTGTCCTTTTGTGTGAGGAAATGAATAGGTGTTTGTGTGAATGTGTGTTAGTCAGTGCGTGTGTGTAGGAGTGTGAGTGTTTTGGGGTGTGCGTGCGTGTGTGAGTGAGTGTGTGCGAGTGGTTCTGCTATAAACAGGCAGAACAGCTACACCCTCCCAACCCAGAGCATCGCTGGCCAGCACTCCCCCCATCAGCATGGCCAGCACTGAGCATCAGGCTGGACTGTACACTCCCACCTTGACATGGGGTGGTGTGGGCAGCTCAAGTGCACAATTTTCTGCCTTGGAGGCAAGAGGCCTAACAAGAGCGAGTCAAGCGAGCGGGGCTGAGAGTGCCGGTGATGCCGTGCACGATGCTGGCTTAGCCGTGCAATATGGCATGGATCTGATGAAGTTAGGAAAAATCTTGATGGAGGAGGTCGATTTGGTGTCTCTGCCAAGGCTTCGCTCTATCTCTAACAAGAAGCGTTGGGAGATGTCCTGCAGCGTCTCGTCAGACAAGTACCTGCACCACTTGCATATAGATGGGGATGGAGAGGGGGGGAGGTGTGGGGGGGAGAGAAGGTCAGTGGCAGCAACTCAAACAACACCTGTACCTGGGGTCTTTCACGCGGATGGCAGTGTCTGCAAACTCCTGGGTTCCCAAAAAATCTTTGTGCATTGATACTTTTTACTGTGACAGTTTTTACATCTTTGTCGCTCTCCCGCACCAGCCCACCCACTCCCGGGTCAACACGTTGTGGATTCAAGCTCCGCATGCAGACAGACTCTCACTCGCAGTGACACACACACATCCTCCCACAACACATTGCTATTTAGTCGGTTGTCGCAGTGTATAATTTGGCTGCTTACACAATATGCTGTCATTCAATCCTTGTGGAGTCCTGTAGCTCAGTGGTTAGAGCACTCGCTTTGCAAGTGAGAGATCTGAGTTCAATTCCAGGCAGGGCGAAACCTTGGGCAAGTTTCCTTACTCCACACGCCTAATAATAATCCCTCCAAAAAAAAAACCAAAACAATAATAAAAATGGGTCATTTTCAATCTACGACTGTTTGTGGGACATTGCTGTGCGCAATTGGCTGCCGCGTTCGCCCACAAATATACAGTCAATTCACTTTACAGTGTGTTCAGTGAAGCGCTTTGGGACGTCCTCCTGACGTGAAAAGCGCTATATCAAATGCAAGGCTTATTATTATTATTATTGTGAAATCTTGGGAATCATGGGTGGTGGGCGGGGTGGGGGGATGGCGGTGGGGATTCTCAGAGGTCATATCAAATACGAGGCTTAATAATTGGGATCTTTCTGCCGGCGTATGAACAAGGCAGGGCTGGGAAGTTCCTCACGAATGGTACCACGAATGGAGGATTGTGCGATTGTGGAGGTGCTGTGCATCGGGGGATCTGTACGTATGGAGTGTTGTTGACTGTGTGGGGGAGCTGTGCATTGGCTGGGGGTTGCTGTTTGCTGGCGATGTCTGTGCCTTGGGTTAATGTGCGCTGAGGTGGAGTTGCCTCTCGTCTAAGGCTTGGGGTCTCCGCCATGTTTGGTGTGTTTGTGGCCTGGCGAACTGTGGTGGGAACCGGGACGGGGGTTGTTGTTGGTGCTTTGGGTGTTGGCTGAGGTTGTGCTCTGTTGAGAGTAGCTGCGCCGAGGGTGAAGCTATCCATGGTGTATCATCTGGATTCTGGGTACTTTGCCTTGAATGGGGGCTGTACTGCGCCTGCGATGGCGATCTCAGGATGGAGGAGGCATAGCCTGTATGCGGATGACCAGGGTGTGGAAGCTTGGCCCAGGGGTGAGCTACAACAACAGCAACGACATCATTACTCTTTAGGTCGGGAGGGAGTCTCAAAGGGCTGAACAGTCAGCAGTCGAAGATTGGACATGGGGCAGGGGTGGTGTAGCGGTGAGAGAAGGTAGAGAGATGGGAGTGAGCCCAACGGCAGATAGGAATAAATGTTCTTTAGACCGGCCTTGAAGGAGGCAAGGGAACAAACGAGGTAAAGGGAAAGTGGTGTGGAGTTCCAGAGTGTGGGAGCAGAAAGGCTGAAAACCCGGCCGTCGATGCAAGGGCGGGTCTGGCGGAAGACATGGAACAGGCCGGAGCCCGCTCAACGGAGGGAGCGGGCAGTTTGTTAGGGAGTCAGCAGGTCAGAGAGGTATGAGTGAGCATGGCCATGGATGGCCTTCAAGGTGAGGACGTGCATCTTGAGCTCGATTCTCTGGGGGATGGAGAGTCAGTGGAGTCGGGCGAGGGCGGCAGAAATGAGATCACGGAGCCTGAGAGTACACGAGCTGCCGAAATTTGGATGATCTGCAGCTTGTGATGGGAAGAGTTGTTAACGCCGATAAGGAGGGAGATCTGAGGTAGCTGGACATCTGGGGTGGAGCTGAACAATGAATTGAGGCGCTTTGCCTGGATGGGGTAAGCCTGAGGGGTGAGTGGGCGTTGTCAGGCCCTGGTTGATGGGCTGTGCCCTGGGGCTGGCTGGTCTCTGGTGTAAGGCAGAGTTATATCTGGGTTCTGTTGTGTGTGTTGCTGAATTGTAGTCACAAACCTGAGCTACCAATAAACGAGTAATGCGACAATGTTTGTGTCTATGTATGTATCTTTGTATCCGCCGATAACTAAACAATCACTTCTTCGAAGCGCTTCACTGTTCGTGAATAGGCTGTATATTTGGTAAGCGAAAAGTGGCAGCCAATCGCGCACAGCGCTGTCTTATAAATAGTCGTAGAATGATTGACCAGATTACTATTTATAATTTGAGAAGATTGTTATCTCCGGAAAAGAGGCCTCCCAATTGAGAAACGGGTTCGTACTGACTGCTATTTAAACGTAGGCAACTGGGGTGAGGAAAGTTGCCTAACATTTCGCCCTGCCCGTGAAACTAAATATTAAATATAATAATCTAACATAAGTATAATAATCTAAAATAAAGAAAAATAGCTCAATGTAATTATACTAATCTAGTGTAGTCTATTATAATATAAATGATAATATAATAATATAAATTATAATAATCTAATATAAAGTTTAATAATATAAAGTATAGGATGGAATATAAATTATAATAACACTAGTTTTGTTCGCAAATTAGCTGCAACAGTTCGAGTTAGTAGTGTAGTAAACTGTTGCTGTTAATGTGAAACACGAGTTGTGGACGGAATGTCGCCAGCAGTGAGTGCAACCATTATGATTATGATTTTTGTTGTGTTGTTTACCCCCAGACACACTCCGACTGTGACAGGCTCTCGTTGCATGTACATTGTATTGTATTTATTGTATTATCCTGGAAGTCAAACAGGAAACAGACAATTAATACTGTGGGTGATGTTTTACAGAGAGTGGGAGTCTGCGGCTGATGAATGGCAGCAGCCCGTGCGCCGGGAGAGTGGAGGTTTACCACAGAGAACAATGGGGCACAGTGGATGGCACTGACTACAAAGATGATCTGTCCTGGGATATGAAGGCCGCGGCTGTGGTGTGTAATGAGTTGGGCTGTGGAGGGGCGCTGTCAGCATCAGGAGACGCCCAATTTGGGAGGGGCTCAGGCTACATTGTGACATATGGTGTTCACTGCAGAGGGAGTGAGTCTACTCTGAGGGAGTGTCACTCGGGGAACTGGAGTCACTATTCACTGTCACACTCCTTTGATGCCGGTGTCATCTGCTTAGGTAAACAATTCATTCTCTTATGATTATCAGTTCTCATATTTTCGGGTGTGACCACATTGGGTTCGATACAGTGGGCTGCGTGTTACAGGCTACTGAGCACCAGTTGGATGAGGGAGGTGGGTTTGTGGGGAGAGATGAGAACAGGGCGATCAATACAGAAGAGTGAGAAGAGGTGGTAGTGGAGCAAATTGTGGGTGAGCAAATTTGGGTGAACACAAGACGGGGGTGGAGCAGGGAGTGAAAACGGTGATTGGGTAAGAACTTTGGGGTTTACCACAAACGGATGAGCGCACAGTCATGTGCAAGAACAGGACGATGAGCAACGTGGGTGGGCGGGAGAGCAAAGGGTGTGCGATCGCTTGCAGCAGCACAGACTGGGGTTAAAAGCGGGTTGTAAGCTTAGGGGGCTATGAGCAAGGGAATCAGTTGAAAAGAGAGAAGGGTGAGAGCAAGGATTAAGCACACGGCGCGGAGAGCAGAAGTGGTTTCAACGCATTGCTGAAGAACATATTTGAGATTGGGCACAAGTGAGTTGACCAAAGGTTGGGGAGAGTACAAAGATGTTGAGCACAGTTTGTGGAGAGCTCAAGTGTGGTTGAGCACAGCGAGACAATTGAGAATTTGGTGAGTGGGGGTGACCACAGAGGGTGAGTTCAGTGGAGGGTCAGCACAAAGAGCAGTGTACACAATGGGGATTAGTACGTGTGGGTGTTTGAGCACTGGGAGGGGTGAGCACACGAGAAGTGAACACAGTGGAGCTGAGCACAGGGTTGAAAGTACTTTGGTTTGAGCGCGAGGGTTCAGCACAGGGGGTGAGCAAAAGGTGAGAAGCACGGTGGCGGGGCGTTAAACGTAGGATGAGCCCAGAGTTTGCGTAGAATACAAGGAGGGGGGTTAGAACAGCGATGTTGAGCACAGGAGATCAACAAAAGGGGGTTGAGCAGAGGCAGGGAAAGCGAAGCGGGTGTTAAGCACAAGGGGTGTGTGACCACAGGCGAGCGACTGTGGGGTGATGAGCATAGAAGGCTGGTGAGCACAGTCGTGTGGGAAAGCACGGGGGAGTGAGCAGGTGCGGTGGGTAAGTGCAGTTTGGTTGAGAACAAGGTGCTGGGTGAGCACGGGTGGCGGGTGAGCATGGCCGATGGTGGGGGTGTGGGGGTGTCCGTGGTGGTGGTGGGGGTATTATGCACACCTCTTCCAACCCAGTGTCAAACGACCTCAAATTGAGCTAATTGTATATACATTATACATTATATATTACAGTTGTGGATGTGCATAATGGATTGTATTTGCAGGAGGTAAACCACCCAGACTGGTGAATGGAGGCAGCCGCTGTGCGGGGAGATTAGAGCTGTACAGCAATGACACTTGGGCGACACTTTGTGGCGAGAACCTGAACACGGAAATTGCAGTACATATTTGCAAACTTTTGGGTTGTGGATTTGCTGTATCAGTCTTAGGTAACGCTCGCTTTGGAGAAGGATCGGGTCGTGTGGTTGGTCGGCCAGACTGCGGACACGGACAGGACATTGGCATAACCTGTTCAGGTATAGACCACAACCACAATAATGTACATTAACATAGCGTCGGAATGGGGGGGTTGAGTACAGGAATGTGAGTGGGAGCACAAGGGGGTGAGCGTTGGCATAGAGTGTGAGTGTCAGTACAGGGGAGTGAGCACGTGGGTGACTGTGAGCACAGCTCATTTGAGGGTGAGCAAATCGGGATTTCTGTGAGCACAAGATGGGACTGAGCACAGTGGTGAGCCCTGGGAGAACGATTCGCTGATTTATCTTGTACTGAACAGTAGAACAGATAAGATAGATGGCTGCGTGAAAATATTGTTTCAGTGTACAATATGTAGCTTGGGGCACAACGCGTTGTTACTATGAGGATGGTGGAAGGCAAATTGGATGAACCTCGGTCTTCTGTCGCCATCTGGCTACTCCATCTCACACTCACTCTCTCTCTCTCGGAAATGGCATGGCGATACTTTAGATAATATGTCTCTTTCTCACCCACTCTCTCGCGCTCTCGCTATCTCTCTCTCTCTCTCCTCTCGCTCTCTCTCTCTCCCTCCCAGACCAGATGGAAAAACGGCCGGTTAATGTGTCTACCGCTCACGAACTCGGTCTCACACAATTTCTCTCTCACACTCTCTTTCTCTCTCGCTCACAGATCAGATGTCTTTTTTTTTCCCTCTCCCCCTCTCTCTCTCCCTCTCTATCTCTGTCTCAAACTTGCAGACGTGATGGCTTGTTGATGTCTTTGTCTCGCACCATTCCCTCCTTCCCTCATTCCTGCTCTCTTTCTCTCTCTCTCTCTCTCTCTCCCTCTCTCAAACTCGTAGACTCCTCCTTCCGCAGGCTGCAGATAATCCAGAACTCTGCAGCACGTTTCTTCCCCGAAACAAACTCCGTGACCCCATCTCCCCGACACTCACCCGACTCCACTGGCTCCCTATCCCTCAGCGGAGCCGGCTCCAGCGCCTGGTCCTCACACACAAAGCTCTCCATGGCCACGACCCAGCCTGCTTCTGCAAACTCATAACCCTCTACCAACTAATGCATTGCATCCGCTCAGCCGGCTCCCGTCGCTTAAATGCTCCACCGTTGGCAGGAGAGCCTTCAGCCACTCTGACCCCAACCTCTGGAACTCCATTCCCCAAACACTCAGCATCGCTCACTCGTTAGCCTCCGTCCCGTCCTCCTTAAAACGCTCCTCTTCGAGCATGCCATCGCTCCTCCCCCCACAGCTTTCCAACCCTTCCGTTCCCCCCACTGACCCCAGATCAGGTCTGTAATTCTGTACAATGTCAAACGCCTTGGGACGTCCTGCCGACGTGAAAGGCTCTATGCAAATTTAACCTTCCTGCTGTTGTGGAATCTCTCTCTCTCTCTCTCGCACAGACCAGACTGAGTTACGGCTGGTGAATGGATCTCACTCCTGTTCGGGCCGGGTTGAGATGCTGTTTATGGGGCTGTGGGGCACAGTGTGTGACGATAATTGGGATTTGGCTGACGCTGATGTTGTTTGTTCGGAGCTGGGCTGTGGGCCGGTGATCGCTGCGGTGACCAGTGCGATGTTTGGAAAAGGAAAAGGTCAGATCTGGCTCGATGACGTGGCCTGTGTCGGTAATGAGTCCCACCTGTGGCGATGCCCCGCGAGAACCTTGAGCCAACACAACTGTAATCACGGCGAGGACGCAGGTGTGGTGTGTATGGGTAAGTAAATTCCTCCATCTCGTTCTCAACGTCTCTGTCTGTCTCGCCTTCACTTTATCTGTGTCTCTCAGACTTTCAATCTCCTTGCTTTCTCACGCTCTATCTCTTCTTCTCAATCTTTCTTCTGCTTTCTTTCTTTCTCCTGCATTCTTTCTTTGTTTGTTTCTTTGTTTGTTTCTTTGTTTGTTTCTTTCTTTGTTTCTTTCTTTGTTTATTTCTTTGTTTCTCTCAGTTTGTCTCTCTGTCTCTCTTTCTCTCTGTAGCTCACTGTCCTCCATCTGTCAATTCCTCACTCTCTCCATCCTATTTGTGCCAAAAAAACAAACAGACACTGCACTACACAGTGTATACTCTGAAGTTCATTGAGGCGTCTCGAACATGTGATGGGACGTTTTAATATATGTAAATATTCTCTCGCTCTTTCACACTCTCTATCTCTCTCTGTCTCTTTCTCTCTCGCCATTTCTCTGTCTCTCCGTATATAATCTTATAGAGTGGTGGAACAGCTTCGAGGGGCTGAATAGCTTAGAAAGTTTCCGAGTTTCCAGTATATATTTCAAAATCTCCATCACCCAATTTCACTATCTTTCCATGTGCTGCACGTCTGCTTCTCTCTATGCTATTTGCCCATCCTCTCCCCTTTTAGAATCTCTCCATCTCTCCGCCCACCAAACTCCATATCTCTGCATATATCTCTCTCTCTCTCAATCTCTCTTTCAATCTCTCGCTTTTTCTGACTCTCTCCATCTCACGTTTAAGTCAAATTTTCTCTCTTCCCCTCTCCCAAACTTTCTCTCCAGGAATTCGTTGAGTGTGAGCTCCTCTTTCGTGTCTCACACTCAGTCTATCTGTCAATCACCCAAGAACTCCATCCTTCACTATTACCCTCAGTCTGTCCCTCCGTCTCTATACCTCACTACATCTCCCTCCATCCATTCAATCTCTCGCCACCTAATCGTCTCCCTACATCTCAGTATATTTCATTCTTTACATCTCTCACTCTCTTCCTCTGTCCCTTTCACTTTCTCTCTACAATCCGCCGTCAGTTTGACACACACTCTCTCTCCATCCATCACACTACATACCTCCTTCCATCTTTCTTACACACGCTTCATCTGACTCTGTACCTTCGCTTGACCCTCTCACACGCATCCCCTCCATCTCCCTATAGTCATTCTACGCCTCCCTTCTCCTCTAGCACTCAATCTCTCGAACCATCCCTCTCATACACTCTCCATCCGTCAATCTGAAACACTTTGTACCACCCTGCAACTCTCTCACACTTTATATCCAACAACCCTTCTCTGTATCCGACTCCGTCGCTCTCACGCTTTCTCTCACAATCTATCATGCTCTACCACCCTGTGTACCTCTCACACTCATTCTGTCCATTTCCTTCAAACTCCCTCAGCCTCATTCACATTCCCTCTGTCACTCACTTTCATGCAGCCCTATTTCCCTCTCGCATTCGCTCCTTGCGTCTGCTAATCTCGACCTACCTTCGCACATCTCATAATCACTTTAGCTGTCCATCACTCTATAACAACAACAACAACAAGATTCCATTTATAAAGCGCCTTTCACGTCAGAAGGACGCCCCAAAGCGCTGCACAGTTGGGTCATGACCCGAGCAGGGGGGAAATGGTCAGGGGGAGGGAAGGGAGGGATAGAGGAGGGGGGAAATGGTCAGGGTGAGGGGAGGGAAGGGAGGGAGCGAGGAGCGGAAGAGAGTCGAGAGGGGAGCTGAAGGCACGGTCAAAGGGAAAGGTTTTGAGACAGGCCTTGAAGGAGGAAAGGGAGGAAGCAAGGCGAAGGCACTGGGGAATGGAGTTCCAGAGCCTCGGGGCTGAGAGGCTGAAGGCCCGACCACCGATGGTAGGGCGGTTGGGGCGGGGGACGTGGAGCTGACCGGAGCCAGAGGAACGGAGGGTACGGGCAGGTAGGTAGGGGGATAGTAGGTTGGAGAGGTAGGAGGGAGCAAGGCCGTGAATGGCCTTGTAGGTGAGGATGAGGATCTTGAAATCAATCCTCTGGGGGATGGGGAGCCAGTGGAGGCGAGTGAGGGTGGGAGTGATGCGGTCCCGAAGCCTATAACTATCCATAACTGCAGCTTTCACGAGCACACTCAGTCAAGCTGTCCGTGGATCCAAACGTCCTCTGTCAATTTTATACTCACACGCTCGATTCGTTTTTCTGGATCTCTCTTTACCGCGCTTGCACACCATCACACCTCCATTACCTCCCAAACACCAAGTTGCAGCTCACACCCTCTATTCCTCACTCACACCTTCTCAAACCCTCAATCCTTTTATCACACTTTCCCTCATGTGAAGGTCTAGACTTCCACTCGATTGTGGTTATAAACCTGTCTGAAGAGAACACAGATGTATCAGATTGAATTCCACTCATGCTTTCGCTGGTTGAAACTATATATTGCCCCAGTCCATGGCGAGCTTCGAAGTTGTTCCCCTGTCCTCTGTGAGGCAACGATTTGATGTTTCCCCTCAACCATTTCCCCAACACGTAGTCCTGACGCCTCCTACAGTCCATTGAAAAAGCAAATGGTCACTGTTACTGGGACCTCATCTCTGTATGTGCCACAAAGCGAGTGTCTGTGAGATTATTTTTATTGTGTTTTAATTCCAGATCGGCTCCGGAAACCCACCCTTTCTCTGAAACTAGATTCCCGGATGTTTGTGAGAGGAGAATTCGCTGAGATCTCATGTTCTGGGAATTATCCTGGCAGCAATTTCTCTTTATACAGAGACGGCGAGTTTATCACATCACATTCAACTCCAGGGAATACTACCATAGCAATATTCACCACATCGGAGATCAGTAGAGGTCATTACTGGTGTAAATATACCATACGCGTAGACGGCCGAGAGTTCGCATCACCAGAGAGTGACCGAGTGGGAATCACTTTGCGGGGTAAGAGCTCAGTAAAATCTCACACAATAACCTGTATCTGCTTCGACCATTTACAGCAGCTCCTGTTGTAAACACTTTTTGTAACATCGATCATATTTCCAAGTTACATTCGTCTGTCCTCTATGTATTTCATCTATATCTTCGCACCCTTGAGCCCCTCTCCGCCATTCTCGCCATTCTCTGTCCACTTTTTTTCCACCCATATCCCTAATCGTTCTCACACATATCGCCAAACACTTGCTCCCACACTGCACACCGTGTCTCTCCCCTCCCCGATTTCTCTCCTCGCACAACCACTCTCACACTCAGTCCTCCATTTTCCCTTCCACGCTCTCACCCCACCACTTTCTCTTCTTCCTCCCTTATCTCTCTGCTTCCGTCCACCAAACAATATCATGCCCCCACCGATATCCCCCCTTCTGTACTCGAGAGGCGGGACAATCTCGGCTCATCATTACCTGTGGGTGTTAACTACGAATCAATGAAAGCCAAACCCCAGACTGTGCATATAAATTGGAACTGATTTCGCTGTTAGTCAAGCTTTCCCAATGTTTGCGCACCTAGAATCAGTTAGGTATTTGCTTTGCATGGTTAACAGAAGCTGAGTGGTAAGATTTCCTCCCACATTGACTAATCTGCTCTTTCAGGTCCCACCGGTCAGCCACACTGTTCTGCAATCAGCAATGCTTTGGAATAATATGTACCCGCCTGGCTCGTTCAAGGAACCAATCGGTATTGATTTATTTCTGACATTCCAGCTGCATTTACCCCTCCTCCCACCGAGTGCAACATCACTTGTCATTTATTTGAGACCTAGCAAGCCCAGGTTTGAGCATCGCTGTTAGGGGAACTCAAAACAGACATATTATTATCTGTTTACATTATGTTGATTTCTTCAATCATGTATCGCAGAGAGTCGATGAAATTAATGCAGTTGATGTTGTACAGGTGCACTTTCAAAACACGTTTGATAAAGGGCCACATAATAGACAAGTAAGCAAAATTGACGCCCATGGGAACATGGATCTAAAATTATTCGGGAGACAGAATGTTGAAGTTAGCGGTGAAGGATTTTTATTCGTAGGTTGGAATGAGGTATTCACTTGTATCCCTCAGGGTCGCGATTGTGACCAAATCTATTTTGACCTAAATCGATGGCATGGAATTGGACATAAGGAGCAACCTTTTAATGTTTGCCGATGACACAAATCTTGTAAACGTTGGAAAAAGTGAGTAGGATGGTAGCTGACTGCAGGAGGTCAAAGACAGAATGACGAAATGGGCAGCCGCATGAAAGAAGCAATTTGGTGCATTGAAGTGTGAATTGATGCACTTTAGGTAGAGGATTGAGGAGAGATAACACACAATAAATGGTAGAGGCTTAAAAGGGGCGCAGAGTAGAGAGACTTGAAGTTTCAGATCATCCATTCCGTGAACGTGGCAGCATAGGTTGGAGATTTTTTTTAAGAAGCGTATGTGATACACGGCTTTACCAATAGGGGTGTAGAATAACAATATTAGTGAGATTATGCTGAACATTTGCAAATCTCTGGTTAGGACTTAGATGGAGTATTGTGTCCAAATCTGTGCACCACAGTTTAGGAAGTATGTCAGGGTCTTGGAGTGGGTGCAAAGGAGATTTATCAGAATGGTACTAGGATTGAGGGACTTCTCCTTTCTAAGCGTTCATTGATTTTCATGTTCCTGCTGTGAAGTAAGGACTTACACAAATGTTGTACTCTTAATCAAGATTTATTAATTCAGATTAATATTGATTATAAGTAATTAGAAGAAGATATCAACTTCTGGTTACGTATCCATATATACTGTGGTTCACAATGATTTAAATTTACCAAACTAAACGCTGCTATAGAGATAGAGGAGCAGTGTCCAATTACTCACTGGAATCGAAATATAAGTCCTGAAACTTGTATTGATATACAGTTTCACCCAAATGTATCCAGGTATTATTGTATGTTTAGTATTGTTTGAACCGCAAACTTCACCTTCCTTCGTTAGAAGCTGGAATATAGTTCACAACAACAAATCTAATTTCTTCCTTACACATTTTTCTTTCGAATCGGTCACCGTTTATACTGTTGATTAGGCGACGTTTCACCTATTATTTTTCTTGCAAGGCTCCTATGTAAAAACAAAAGCAACATAGCTGTCTCCAGCTGCAGACCAATTTTCCATGAGAAAATGACTGATAAGCAATGGAAAACGTTTGTTATTTATAAGAAGCCTTTTGTTTTCTCCTCATTGTGGAAAGATAAACTTCGAAGATCGTCACAACTAATTCCCCTCATAATGAGGATGACCATATGTCTCAAATATATGAACATCGCAAATATAATTTAAGGTATTTTTTAACACATTAGCTAAGGAAATCCTACACCTTGCAAGAGATATTTAAGATAGTCGACAAAAGAAGCAGAGGGGAGACGAGGAGAAATTTTTAAATTCAGAGATTTGTTATGGTATTGAATGCACTGCTTGAAAGTCTGGTGGAAACAAATTCGATAAAGGCTTCCAATATGGAATTAGGTAGTAACTTAAAAAGGAATACAAATTGTGGGTAGTGGGCCTAGCCGGTCGCACTTTCAAAGAGCTGGTACAGGCACGGTGGGATGAACGGCCTCCTTCTGGCTCAAGAATCTATGATTCAATAAAAAGAGGGCATTCGGCCATTGTGCTCCTAATAACCTGATCTCCTCCGTCCAATCTTCAAACTCGCCTCCTTGCGTTATCTATTTTAAATCTTAGTTGTTGATTTTGCTCTTTCAATGCTCCTATGGTCATCTTTTCCTTCCCGTCTCCCTTGCTTCTCAGCCAATGGGACACTGCGCAGCGCTTCATGACGCTGTCCTGTGCGAAAGTAATTATGTAAACGCAGGTATTTGTAATAGTCTTATGGATTAGGCGACCAGAAAATACATTCCATACTGCATTTAATTCGAACAATGGCCAAATGTCCATGTGCATTATTCGATATGAAGGCCTATGGAAAAACATAAAATGCCCAGCATAATTGAAAGCTATGGTGTCTATGCCGCTCTATAAAAGTAGAATGCTTTCATCCGTGTTTACCTGTCAACAAAACAAGCCTCATCACAGTGCTTTAGTGTATTTATTTGTCGCTATGGAACTTCTTTGAATAATCGAAGTAAGATGATGCGTTTCCCCTTCTGTCGGACACCCGGCTGACAAAATAAAATGCTGTCACTGGATTAATCAAGATTCAGTCATTGACCAGTGCTGTTTTTGTGTCTTTGTAACAGATTCCTGGTCTACACAGACGAAATTGAACGTTGCTTGCCTCACCATGACGATCGCATTGTCTCTAGTAATTCTTGTCCTGGTCCAGATAGAATGCAGACCAATAAAAATACACAGCTGTCAAGAAAAGGTTATATGAGAAACTTGCTGACATCTCCACTTATCTCCTCAAAACTCTCAGAATCCATTCCGTCTTCATCTTAAACTCTGCTTCAGGCCACAGCATTTTCTCTTGGTATAATTTACTACGTATTCCTTTGCCTAGCACACCTTGATCCACTCACTTTCCAGTTCTGTGTCTTTCTCTTTACCCTCCTTTGGGAGGTAAATTGGGCACGTTTAGGTCTGAGCGACAAAATGCACCTGACAATAGTAACAATTCCCTAATTTGATATTGAAGCTTTCTCATCAGGAAAACGTCTCAAGCACATTTCATGATGTATTGTCCAAGGAGTAGGTATTTTTGGAGTAAACGCGACAGCTATTCTGTGCACAGCAATGTCCCAGAATCAGCCTTCAAACAGCAAAAGCACAACACCACATGATTTACTTTGAAGGTGAACATACCTATATGATAAAATTACTGTGCTTTGGGTAAAAATTGAGCTGCTGTTTCTATGTGTTCATAAATTAGCACATCAACAGATATCAGCAGGTGATGAATTTCCGCTTGGAGGGTAAGGGAATGATTTGAGGTGTCAGAGGGCAATGAATGGAGACTTGCAATGAAAACAATATACAAATACATAGCGTACTTTACACCAGAAATATGCCTGAAAGTGTTGTATGCAACTGACGACACTTGGAGACAAAATCCTGTCCTCTTCCTCTTCTCTTTTGTGGATATCTTGTTTCCTCTTCCTTGAAACTTTAAAACTGTCCATTCCACATTGTTGTTTTCACATATCAAATAATAAACACATCATATGTTTCCTGTGATATAGAGACATTCGAATCAGGAGAATGTCCCAAAGCGCTTCACAGAATATACTGTTAAGTGCAGTGACTACGAATTTGTGGGTGATCGCAACAGCTAGTTTTCGCAGAGCAATGCCCACATGTGAAGATTTCCTTGTTTATTGAATGGAATGCGTGCTCTCTTCCTGTGAAACTTGCCGGTCAGTTGTGCTTGGCGTTACAATGGTACATAATAGGAATTTATATGTGCTTCTAATGCGTTTTGCCAATACGAAATATTTAGCTGTAATCATTTTAGTCATTTATATTCTGTTAGTCTGTTCATTGTGCTGTTTTAGTATGTATTTTACCTATACTGGAGGAGATCTAACATTTATATTTTATAGACTTGTTCAAATGAACGTCTGCTAAAAAAATCTGTTATCCTTTAATGTGAGACAGCCAGTCGTTTCTCCAGCTGGTCTTCCTGTGGCTATGTTTTCCAGGGACGTTGTCATGACATTTACGTGACGTTTCCTTGATTAATATTTGTTATTCTTCCTTTGCTTCGTTGGATATGTTAATGAGGAGAAGGAATATAGCAGCAGATATTTTGGATGAGGAGTGGACCCATTAAGCAAGCAGACGGTTTTGATGGAGAAAAAAGATGACCCGGTTGGTGCGGTGGGATGAGTGCGGGGGCGGGGTAATGTGCGAAGTTGATAAAAGCAAACCGAGCCATCTTATCTCATATTCATATTCTTACTGATACGGTCCAGCTGGGAAGGGATATTTTGATGAGATGGTCTGCATTGGGTGAAAAGCAAGAAGTGTGCGGCTTATTCAAATGTTTTAAAGTGAGTTTTTTGGAAAGGGGAGAGGAATGAGCAAACAGATCAGTAAAATGCTGTACAGGTTTTGACTGAATGGGCTTAATCTGAACATCTGCCAGAGGGAAGAAGAAGGAGACAAAAGAGTCAAATTGTCAACCGCTACCTTTCTGTACATGCACACGCTGTACAAACATTTCTTTCAAACAGAACAACCTGTCTCTGTGAGTTTGATTATATCGCTGTTGGAAATTTGAAAAATAATAGTTTTGTCTTATTTAAGCAGCAGGGATTGTATGTCCTGTTAACATAAACTGTTAGCATAACACTGTAAACACCAGGGACTGGTCTGCCCTCCTTGTACTGTCAGTAAGCCTGGTGGGCTTGACTGTCATCAGCAGTACCCGACATGCTCAGGAACAAGACAATAACAACAGATTATCTGCATACATCACCTGTCAGAGTAGGGGATATGTTAGATTATATTTTTGATCTTTAACACATTTATTTAACCTCCACATTGGTTTAGAATATAACCTACCCATAATAATTGAATACGGTGTTTGACTTATATGTAAACTGGAAGTTGGACTTGGGAGTGGGGATGGAGGAAAAGATGATCAGTTAAAGAAGAAGGGTTTAAGATGGTCCTGAAAGGCAGGAAGTGAAGTTCTGATGCAAAGGGACTCTGGGTGGACTTCCAGCGTTTGGGGGCAGGTTGGCTGAAAGCCCAACTGCAAACGTTGGAATGACTAGTGCAGCAGCCAAGTCAATTATATCTTGATGTTTACTGAATAGCTTAAAGAATTTTAATTAAACTTTACATTCGTTTAGAATGTAACGTACCCAAAATTATTTACTACGGAGTTTGGTTTAATTAGTACCTTAGCAGGGGTTGGTGGCAGCTTTGCAGGAGCGGTTGAGGTTAGCTTCTGATTACATATCAAACTTTCCTGAGAAGATGGTCAATTCCCTGAGATAATGAGCAATCACGTCCTTAAACACAGATGCAAGAACGATAGACCACGGAATGAAAACGATGCAGTCTCACACGCCTGCCTATCTCATGGCTAATGAAAATGTGGGCTGTGGAAGGCTACCAAATGTTGTCCAGTGTCTCTCCCTCTCTCTACATAGCAGCCTTCGAAAATTAGGAGCTCTCTCTATGACGACGGGAGGCGGGGTCAGAAACACATCAGAAAAGATGTAACTTTGAAACGGTTGTTGTTATTATAGATGGTCAACGCACATCCCAATGGAATCGATATCTATTCCATTGTATCTATGTTTCCAGTTTTACAAATACGTCAAGCTGTTTATATTGCTAAATAAACCTTGGAATTCAACACAGCCGTCGTCTCCATCCGAATCTCTTACAAATTGGCGAACCAGCCAGAAGGAGGCTGCGCATTTGATCTAGGGTTAAATAAATTAGTCAGCTACGTAGAATATCAACATAGATATTCGAAAGGATAGATTTGCGAACGAGTCGATCCGGTCGAAGGAACTGTATTGCAATATACATTAGTTAGAGTTGGGACACTAATGCAGATTAAAGTGGCCATGGAAGCTAAAAGGGCTTTCATGAAAAATATGTTCGGGATTGACGGCAAGGACATGTAACTACCAATATGACCATAGAGGGTCCGGTATATAAGGAGATAATAGGTCACCCATGTAAAGAAGTTTATGAAGGTCGGAACAACGAGAAGAAAACCTGGAGATTTGTTGATGTATGTCACTTCTCTCTGCACATTTTTGAGCCGAGAGCATCAGTGGAATGTAGAATGAACTTTCAGACCCAGGAGAGAGAAAGAATATCGTATTAGCTTTGTAACTGAATTACAGTGTCATCTGGCCACAATGGTTTTGAGTTGATTCAGACATAATTAACCTGGAAAATACAAAACTAAAAAACGAGTAGGCAAAGCGAAAACATAATTTATCTGATACTAGAGCATCTTTAGAGTGGCTTTACAGAAACATTCCCGAAATCCAGAAAATGAGGCTTGTCAAAGGGTGTCATAACAAGAAAAGGAAGAACAACTTAGGGAAGAAAAGTTGAGAAGCTAATGGCGCAGAACTGGAATGATGCGGAAGGTATTCATTGGGAACATCTGTAGGAAAAGGGACGTCTGTTCTATAATCCACCAATAGAATCCCCATCATTACCTACTGATCCCGTTGGGGAAAGGAATGCACCCTCGAACAGCAGCTCATCCCAGCAGCCGTCATAATAAGAACTGCCACATTTGATGGTGCCGAAGTATCGTACGTTCAACCCATTGTAAATCAGCCGATAGCGCATACGAAGCTAAACGCCTTGACGTCGAGTTGGGAGCCACGAAATATGGCTCCTGTCCCAGCTGAGCCTACACTATGGTACGGTAACCTTCGGGGCGCCACACGCAGCATAAAGCGATGAAGCACATTGGAAATGTATCATGGCTGCATGTTCGTGATATATCGGGGTCGCCACCCCACGTGACTTGCATGCTCCGGCAACTACTGTACAGCAATGGCAGCGAGATCATTTGGCTTGGGATGAGATCAGGAGTATTTAGTGTGGAAGACTAGTGAAATGTATCACTGATCAAAGGTAAAGTCAACGGTTTTTGCAGCATGTATATTCAATGTGTGCAAGCCTTTGGCTGTGGCTTCAGAATTGAATACTGCCACTGATGTTATTGTCAGTCCTATGCATACAGTGGCAGATCCCCAGTTTAAACTAACGCTCTGGAAAGAGTTTTTGCCGGAAATGAGGGTTTATCTGGTAGGTGGGGATCTTTAAACAAGAATAGGTTATGTTCGGATTGTAAAGAGACAGCTACAAAGGGAGTGGACATGGAGACGACTCAGAAAAATGATCAAACAGCAGAACGTATCTAAGGCAGGAGGAATGGCAACACTGGAAGGAAACCCCCTCCAAGGATGTGGCCAGGAAAGGGAAGAGTAAGTTCGGATCCCGGGACAAAATCAGGTGTGTGTTATAATTGCGTTAAAGCTGGTCGTTCGGCCCGCGCATGTCGGTCAAGGAGAACCGGGAGAACTACCCTCTAGGGAAGCCTCATGGATTGATCATGATGAGGAAATTCTCGAGTTGAGACAGCAAATGGAAAGATGCTCTTTTCAACGTTAATAGAAACACGGTGGCCGCGATGAAGAAAAATCACCCACTCCCATCAACACCTGATAGTGAATAGGAGGGGCGCGGGTTCTCCCCGCATCCGGTAATAAGGTTCTGGCGGGATCGTCAATGCCGGTTGTCACTGTCAGTTACAATGGAGGCCATCGACAGGGAACGTTAACAGACACGGGCTCCAGCGTTAAACTCATACATACTTTATCACTCTTTGGTCATCCACTGAGCAAAGGGAGACTTTCTGTTTTAACGGGCTTTCCGGTGAATGCTGTACAGGCTTCTTTTAAGGATCAGCCAGAAAAGTACAATTACAAGTCATCCTGGTTGTAATTTTGCTTATTCCAACAAGCTTTGTTAAGTCGTTTTGTAGCGAAATGAAAAGATAAACTGGTCACCTCGAATTGCAAGTGTGATTCCAAAAGAGGTTAATTGATAGACCCAGAAACTAATTTTCTCATTCACAAGATGAGGCCAGTTAGATTATATTTCTAATGTTTATGCGTTTTTATCTAAGAATTTTTATTAATCTCTGTATACATTTTGAATAAAATCTACCCATAATCCTCTAATTATCATGGAT